CTTTCCCTCGCTGTCAGGATCAGATTCCCTTGATTTGGGCTAGTAATTAAAATGCAGCTTCTCTTAAGCAACTCCCAAAGGCAGGCAGGGAGAGTGGAGGTGCAGCCTGTGCAGATTATATATCTCTCTCTATAAAATGCCAGTAGTTATGTTGTTCTCTCTGACTGCTCCTGGTTGGGCTGTTGACCCGGAGCTTGTGCTTTCCAGCTCCAAACATGCAAAGGCGCTACTGCTGAATTATCAGGCTGTGATGCAGAGAGGGCTGGGATCTCCTTTCCCCCAGCGCGTTTGTGTCCATGTGGCGCTCGGGAGACATGGACCACCACTCATCACCCCCACTGTGTGTGGCATAAGTGATTCACCATGCATTCATTTCTGGTCACATAAGGGGCATTAGTTTAAAGCAGGCTTGAGGCATAGGTTAGCGTTAGCTATTTGAAGTCTTCAGTCTGAAAGCAACATCAAATAGGGAGCAGAAAATGTATCATGCACAGAAAAATCTCTGGGATTTGTTTCCCCCTTTAAAAAAATAACAATAACAATAAATTCCAAACTGTTCGCATATGCTGTCTCCTCTGTGGTCAGGACACCTGTCTGCCTCTTTGCTGTTACTTGATATGGGCTTACAGTGCTTGCAAAAATGTTAACATGAATTTTTTGTCATGGCAAATATGAAAGGAATATCCAGTGTCTGTGTGGGCAGGTCCTCAGCAAATTTCTCTGTGCTTCTTGCACTTCAGTGTGGATATGAAGCAACTGCTGCAGTTCTCCTCCCCTGTGCTCCCCTTCCTCCACTGCGGACCAGGAGGGCGAAGCTGCTGCCCTGCCAGACCTGCTTCTCCTGAGCAAAGACAGCTGATGGTGGGGCTGATGGGTTTCAGCCTGGTTTCCTTAAAAAAAAATAGTGTATGTGACTGGCTAGATATGTCTCTCCTCCCTCTCTTTAATGATTTTTAGCTCCTTGGCTAATCTTAGCCATGTTTGTTAAGAGATAATCAGGCTTTAGGAAAATAGGGGTGAGGATGCAGTTAGGAGGAGCAGGGGGTGACCTGAGGCAGGCGGGAGCATGGTAGGCTGGGAGAGCTGGGGCAGGCGGAGGGGGACTGGACCTTTCACTAATCATCAGTGGTATTTTTTTAAATTTGCTTATTTCTTCTCCAGGACTGAGATGAAAGGAAATAGAAAACACCAGAGTAGGCTCAGATATCAATAAGCTGGAAGTATGAAAGGCTGCTGGTTGAAAGCAGCTTGTGGTAACTTAGAAAACCTGTGTTTTCTTTTTAGCTGAGTGTCTTTGGAGGCACCCAGAAGGAAACCAGGGCTGGAGGTGGAGGTAGGGTTTGGGCTGTCTCACCCTGCTGCTTGTTTTTTCCACAATTGGTGTGTGTTTAATGCATCCCATCTCAGCTTCGGTTCTTCTTGGTGCTCGCACAGCAAAGCCAACGTTGTGGGTGTGACTCACTGCCGGCTTGAGCGGCGGAGGAGGCTTGGGAAGAAGAGGCCCTTTAAGCATGAGAGGCAGAAGGGTGTCTGGTCAGGCTTTGAAAGAGACCTTGTTACCTGCAGCCCTTACGTCAGTGCCTTTCACCAGCTCTACAGTGATTTAAAACAAGTAGCTTCTCTCCCAAATAAACCTCAGTTATTCCAACACTTGCTCAGATGTAATCTGTCCTGCCAACGTGTGAAAAACCCTTATATGGGTCAAAACAGGGACAGACTGACACGAGTTGTATCAGAGGGGAAAAAATGCTATGGTCTGCTCTGTACAGGAGGGCAGCTGGAGTTACAGGCCCTTTTGGGGCTGTTTTCTTGGTGAGGTGTCACAGCCAGCTTGATTTACTTTCTGCTTTTACAATGAGCAAAATGTTGATTCTGACCTTTCTGTTTGCACCCGCAGAGGTCCCTTGGAAGAGCCTGTCCGTACGTCTGTCTGGGTGCCTGACGGGGCTGCCTTGCTTCCAGGTGAGGAGTGGATCAGGTCTCGAGGCTTCTGCCAACTGCTGAGTTTGGAGAGAGTAGGAGGACCCTGGGACCACATTTGGTCATTCAGCAAATGATGGACATTTCTCCAAAGCCTAGAGTGGTGGAGGCCAGGCTAACCCAGGAGGCTTGAGGTGGTTTTACTATTTCTGCGTCCAAGTCTGGAAGCAGCAAACATGCAGGGCCTCCTGGGAATGGGAGTGTTGCATGGGAACACTTGCGTGGTCCCATGCAGAGCTGCGCTGGTCCTGTGGGCTGTATTACTTCAACTTCTTTTTGAATGAGACTTTCCTGCTGTGGACCTGAACTCGCTCCCCGTCCATAGCATGGCTCTCTGCAGCCTGGATACACTCCCAGCTGATGATGGAGAGCTGACTGTATTGCTAGCTTTAATCTAACCATGCTTCAGTGGGCAAAAGCAGAAAAGCGTATAAGCCTATTAAGAATAACCTGAATAGAAATATATGTGAGAAGCAAGTTCACAGAATCATAGAATGGTTTGGGTTGGAAGGGACCTTTAAAGGTCATCTAGTCCAACCCCCCTGCCATGGGCAGGGACATCTTCCACTAGATCAGGTTGCTCAAGGCCCCATCCAACCTGACCTTGAACGCTTCCAATGATGGGGCATCCAGCAACTCTCTGAGCAACCTGTTCTTGTGTCTCACCACCCTCATCGTAAAAAATTTCTTCCTTATATCCAATGTAAATTCATACTTCTGAATTACCAGTTCCATTAAATTCACTGGAGATAGTTAGCTGTGACTTAAGGATCAGCCTGATAAACCACCTCAATCTCTTGTAGGAGTTCCTTGCCAGGTTATGTGTAGGACATGAATTGGGCTTTGTGCCCATCCCATGATATGGTGATTAATTGCGGTTAGGGTGAGCCTTCAGGTAAGATGGCAAAAAAGGAGCAGTGTCAGGGCAGTAGGTCTGTCCTCAAGCCTCTCTGTTGTGCTGACCCAGAGGCAAAGGAAGTGCTAGAGGTGCTACAAAGTCATGGCAACTGGGGGAAGAAAGCAGCGAGCAGTCCCGATAAGAAGTGGATAATAACTGCTGGTCTATAACTGCTCAATGGCCATGAAGTTCTCGGGAGGGGACATGCCTTAGGAGAGCGTGGTGGCTCTGGGCAGTCTTTGCTGCAGTGATGTTTCCCTGAGCCCAGTGGCAGCACCAGAAGGCCACGCGTGATGCATGCACTTGGGGCTGCGTTGTGAGCCAGCGTTGGTCCAGAGCAACTCATTGCCATGTGGGAGGGTGTGTGCTGGGTTTTATTCTTCTGCTACCCTGATGGTTTTGACTAGTGGAGTTACTTCATTTGCCTTGATGTTACCTGACTTGAGAATCGTGAGACATCTGTACGGCATGCCAAAATTGGGAGTGCTTCTTCTTTACCCTCTTGTGTCACTGAATATAACTGCACTTTCATTCTGCCCTTTTGATATGCAATGCACGTCCCTCCTTTCTCTCTTTACCCTCTTCTTGGGTTTATTTTTTTGTGGTTTTTTTTTTTGTCTTGTAAATTATGGCTAGCTGGAGATGAGATTTCAGCGTCCTGTTTACTGCAAACAGTTGAGGAGATTAACAAATGTTGAAAGACAAAGACAGACAAGGGATTAATAAGTACAGGACAGGAGATTAATAGCAAGAGAGTAGAATTTGGTTCAAGGCCTGGTCTTCCCAGTTGCTGGATTGTGGAAGATTAATGGCAGCTCTTCTGTTAGTCTCGTTCTTTCTGTGGCAGCTTTCCTGGCTAATTCTAATAAACTGTCCCAGTGGTTTGCTGTAAATATGAAATCTAGGAAGAAGCCCGTCCTTATAGACTGTTAACTAATGAGACAGCATTAGTTTTGCTTTCTATTCAAAGCTTAAGCAACAGCATCAATGTATTTGCGAATGGTGAAGTCAGATGTTCAGGTGCTTACAACTCCTCTCAGGACAAAAACGTATCACAAAATGTATTTTGCAAGCAAGCTGTCTCCGACAAATTGTTTTTTACTCTATGCCCTGTGCAAGAGATTGATTTCTCTTCTCTTGACTGTTTTTTCAGCTCTGTTTCCGTGGAAAACTGGGCTCTTGACCTATTGCATCTGGCCTCTCATTAGGCTTTGTGTGACATTAGATCATTGTAAGGAAACGCTAGCTTTGCAAAGAGCATTCCTGGTTAAATTTGCTGGAGAACTGTAGAACATGGGACTGCATCACAGAAAGTCTTTATTCTGGTAGAAGGGTCTATGCTGTTCTGGATGTCCTATATAGGAGGTCAGCCTCAAGCTCCTACCTTAAGGCTGAAACTTTCAAGTCAAGCACTGCAGTAGTCCTTTGGCATCTGCCCTCGTGTATTTTCATAATCTTCACAAAGATGATCCCAAGCTCTCAATGCATAGGGTTATAGCAATATACAGGTATATGCACGGCCATTTTGAGAAGGAAGCAGCTGTGTTCCCGTAACAGCGAGCGTGATGAAGACTGGGCTAACATCAGAACTTCATGCAGCAATAGCTGAATTTCTTTTCCAGGGGAGAAAGGCTATGCACTGCTTCAACGTCCCTGTAACAAAGCTCTTCCCCTCTTGTCTGCTCTTGCATGCGGTGCCCTTGGCTTTTCAGAAGTTAATCGATTTGTCCATATTATGGTTCTCTCTTTAGTTTTATTTGTGTAAAGAAGAACATGTGCTAATCTTTCTCCAGAGAAATGTTTCACACTGCTCCTCTTTGAACGTTGGTCCCGGGTCTACCGCATTTCTTAATGAGTCTCTAACTAAACAGCTATGGTTCCCACATGCTCCAGCCTTGACACACGCATACTTCTACACCCACGTGCCTGCTCCCAGTTGAACCGAGCAGCCTGCCCACTCCCCTTGCACCCTCGCTGCTTTGGGATTTGCATTAGCAAGACAGCTAATGCTGTAGGAAGCCCTACACGCGGGAGGGGACTTCATACCTGCAGGTATAGATAGATTTGGCATCAAATGAGCTGTCCTGTGAATTGGAAAGGCTGTAACCTCTTTATCACGCTGTCCCCCCTCCCCCAGGCTCATTTAATGTGCTCCTCCGGGAACCCGGATTCCTGTGGGCTACGTTACCCGTGGTGAGGACCTGAGCTAGCGCCGAACATGGAGCTGAACACCCAACACTGAATTACTGTCTGGTATGCCACCGGCTGCCAGATCTTTGATAGCTTGTTTTTAATGAAGATTCCTCCTGTAATTCCTAGAATATCTTGCAGTGCAAAAAAATGAGCTGTGTGTGTATTTTGCTGTGGGCTGAATTTTTTTCCTGCTCTTCACAGTTCCCTCCATGAACAGAAAGGAAAGGGAGGGGGAAGCAGCTGACTGCTTTTTTTGTTGTTGTTTTTCTACTTGACTTCTGTGAAATATGTGGCGCTCAATCGCTCGCAACTAACAAAATGTTTTTGTTTCTCTTTGCAAAAGCATATGGGAACTGCAGGAAAAGCATATGGGCGCTTTTAGGAAAACATATTGGTGAATGGACAAATTATAGTGGTGCCAATATGTTTTGGATGTCTGGCTAGACCACTACTACTACCACACTTGCTGGCATGCAAACCCATCCACAAGATTTCCAGCATGTGAGTGGTGTGTAGCTGCTCCTAGGGAAACGCAGGCTGGGCTGGATCAGACCCCTGTTAAAACAGCATTGTGATCCGTCTTCGGTGTGCGTGACTGCCTCACCATGTCCCAGACCAGGCTTTGGGCTCATGTTTATGGCACCATATCCATTCTCTCAGTAGACTCAGCCCAGAGCTCCGCTTGCAGCTGGCTGCAAGTAGTGGTAACCATTTTTCTTTCTAAAGCCTTTGACTGCAGTCCTAATAACACCTGAGCGTTTTGCAAACAGGCTAGGCAGCCTCTGGTTTCTCTCTGCTGCTCTATCAGGTCTTTCTGTGTTAGCTGGAGCTATTATTTTTAATTTCTCTATCATGTGGGCTGCTTTTAAGAAAATGCAAAACATTTGCATTATTGCTTCTGGGCCCAGTCCTGTTTGCCTTGATACTGGTGATCCAGGGAAGGGACGCACCAACTGGGAGGGACTTGGCGGGGAGTGGTAAGGGGGTTAAGTAGTCTTGGTTGGTGGCTCGGTTCTGGTGGCTCACAGCATCCCTACAGTTTGAGTTGCCCTGCTCTGGATCCCTGTGCAAAGAGGAGTCCTCGATAGCTCTGTCTGGGCAGCCCTTCCTGCTCGCCCTGGCGGTGAGGGAGTGCTGCCTGCCCTGCCTCTGCCTGCGATGGGCACAGCCATGCTGGGTTGCAGGGGTGGTAACAGCTCTCTGCCCACATATGGGTTTCAGCAGGTCCTAGGGGACTGGCTGAGGTCTCCTTGCACAGGTGTGTACAGGGGGAGACACCTCCTGTCCGTAAGAGCTCACAGTCTAAATAGACAAAGCAGAGCCGCTGAGGAGGATGTAATGATCTCTGAGTGTCGGCGAGATGGGCAATAACTGAACTCGGGGCAGTTTCATGAGCAGGTTCAACCAGTCTGAGTTTGTACTGTTGCTAGAAGAGGTGGTCTTGCTGTCCTTGTGTCCCTGGCCCTCATTTCTGTCCATACAGTCACTTTTATCCTTTACAGGCGCGAGTGGTGAGACAGAGGAGGGGGCAAAACGTGGCTGGAGACTGAGGGGATAAGGAAGATGCACGCTTGGACAGTCATTTGGATGTCACATTCCTTATCTTGGTTATGAACCTGCACTCTCAGATATTCTGAGTGGTAATTCAGCACCTTTTAGTGTTCTTCCTCTTATGCCAACTTCGGGATGATTTGCTGCTGAGTAATTTTTACATTATTTAATGTAGCCACTTTCCTTATAGCTCTTTTGTTCTGTGAGACAATTCCCTATTTTATTATGCAAACAGTACATTAAGATCCTTATGGGCCAAAGTTCCCAGCAGCGCTTGAGATGATGGCAAAGAAGTAGGTTATTTCAGAAATAATGATTCTCTCCTCTAGAAGCTTTCTTG